AAAAAAGAAAAACTGCAACTACCACGATTTTATTATCCAGGGTGTCTGCTTTCATGAAATATATAATATTTTGGGGGTTTTATGCAATTGCAGGCCTAAAGATATTTTAAACGTGTGAAAAAAATGCTGTGTCGGAAAAAGGGTTAATAGCACTGGCACTGCTGTATAGGAGTGTGAATATGATAGTAATACAGAATCCTGTCCTGATCTGGGGTCTCTGTGGTTTCTGGCTGTGTGCAAACATGGGGCCCCTGACCAGAACTGAGCTCTGAATCACACCCCACTATGGGAACCCTGAAATGTCCCCCCCAGTACTACAATAACCAACTACAACCAGCACAAAGTCCTCCCTGGCCACAACTGCCCACCAACACACGCCGTTCTAACCCCTTCTCCCCATCTCAAGGCCTGCACAGCTTCACCACCATACTCACCAAGCAAGGCGCCGTCCTCTTTTCCTGACACATTACCCACGCCAGCCACAAACCAGCCAACCACTGAACTCCATCGGATGACTGGCCCCTGCGTCCTCCAATTACGGCGCAGACGTTTCCCGTTCACCCGAGCGTCATCATCTACTACAAACGAATGAAGAGGTCGGGTCGGGGGGGGATGGACATTGGCAGCGAATCGGAGTGCGCGAACTTAGGCTGTCCACCAATTGTAGCCAGCGTTACATAGGAGGGTGTAGAGGTGGAAGCTGAGCAGGAAGTAAGGTGAAGTAAACAGAGCAGGTAGAGATGAATTCCCTGGAGCAGGCTGAAGGTGCGCTATAAGGGAAGGGGGTGCCTGGTGTTCTGTTCTATGATACAGGAGGATATGATCGTTCTTGGGGAGGCCCTGTAGTTTGGTGTGAATCGTGCTGGCCTCCCACTGACTGACCTCACGTGTGTGCACTATGTTCTGTATGGAGCTGTCATGGTGTCAGTCCTCTTCTTTTACAAGCGGCAGTTGTTTGTTTCTTATTTTTCCAGATTCGCTTGAGCAGTTTGTATTAGAGGGGCATAATACAAATGTTTGCATTTTGGTTAGACAATTCTAAATAATGACACGGAGCAACAAGTTCTATTCCATGCTTGTTCTAAAAGATCAAAACCAAAAGTTCTTCAGTGACCAGTCAACCGAAATCATTCCAAACTGTCAAGTGATGTCATTTTGTTTTCACTTTGAAAAGTGATGCTAAAGTGCAACTAAACCCATCGATTTAATGGTTTAAGAAAATGTTTACTTTCCCAGCATGCCAGGATTCTAACTGTCACATGTGTTTGTGAAGCAGACTGTCAAACCATCACACAGCTGGTGTCATAGCTGACCACGTGTGCAGCACCATGGCAGTTGCAGAGCAAACACAGGCTAGGATGGGAGCTTACTTGGCCAAAAAGGAGAGGAGGGTTTGGCTCCACTTTAAACCCCATCTCAAAAATGTCATATATTGCAGCTTACCAATCATTAGATGTGGTGTTTGCATTAGTTTTCTTTTTTAGACTTTTTTTTTTCTCTGTTTTTCACCTGGTGATCTGGACAGTAACGCACCTCCTGTATTAGAGTGGACAACAGCATTGTCAGTTAGGGGGAGGGAATTGTTGGATGACACGTGTCAAACACAAGGCCCGTGGACTGAATCCAGACCACCTGGCCATTTCATGTGGCCCTCACATCTCTCTTGCTGCTGCAGCACCCCCTCCTCTCCACCCCACTGCCATCTCAGCAGTTGGCAGTAGAGAGAAGGGTAGAACTCTTACAGATCTTGTACCTCTCTGTGCAGCTGCTGCACCCCCTCCTCCCCTGGTCTCAGCATTTTGCAGACTCCGGCAGCTGACTCCAGCCATCCTCTGGTTCTTCTCCAGACTCTGCACTTTCTGCTTCCCAGCTTCAAACCAGCAGCAGTACAAGGTAAGGGCAGTGCAATGTAAGGGAGGGTGGTGGACTCAACTCCTGATGTTGGCGGGGGCTTGTGTGTTCTGAACATCTAGTCTTACACATAAAACCGACCCTTTGAGGGCAACCATAATGCTGATGCTGCTACAATGAAATTGAGTTTGACATCCCTGCACTAACAGATTTAGATACATTAACACATTGAAGCCAAACTCCATCTAACACTTTATATGCATTTACAGCAAACAGCTTTTAGTCCTTTTGGAATAAAGGTTTTACATGAATAATTACAAACTGATCTTTGGAAGCGGCCTTGTCAGTGGTAAATGGGTTGTCTCATCTCTCTAACTGCTGCATCTCCAGGACAGCTTTTTCTTTTGGAAAACAACAGACTTGCTGGCTGGATCACCAGGTGAAAATAATTTCCTGTACTTGCTGAAATTGAACTTGGCTTGAACACAAAAATTAATGCAGCCACATAATTTAATGACTGCAAGCTGCAACATAATGTGTTTTGTTCTTGTACTTTATAATGGAGCTAAATTGTGCAATACTTGCCTTTCTTTCAATGATAAAATGTCCCTCACTGGCATCTTCTACCCAGCTTCTTCCAGGTGCTGGGCTGCAGCCATCTTCATTGGCTGGTGCAGGATGATCTCACTTGTAGGAAGGTTCAGGTCATACAGGGATTAGACAAAAAAAATGGAAACATTACATGATCTGTAGGTTTGAAAGTGACAACATGGTACACATTGAAAGTGGAAGTAATGTAACATTCTTTTGCTAATACTGTGTGATGAGACACATAGCTAAAAGGACATTTCACAGGATTGTGACCCGAAATAAGAAAACAATTGCTGCAATAGAGACTGCAGTACTCAACCTCAGTCCCATGAAGACTGAGGTTGAGCTCTGCAGTCACTTTTGCAGCAGTTGTTTTCTTATCCTGGGTCACAATCCTGTGCAATGTCCTTTTTGTCTCTTTCAGTCAGTTGACCATGTCGACCACGCTTCTGCTTATCAGATGAAGTTTTCCTAGACACTGTATATGCCTTCGTAACCTTTGATACTGTAATTTATGACACAGCAAATAAATTGGCATCTTCAGTCACAGAGGCACCAGCTAAGCCGCCCTAACAATTTGTCCTCTTTGAAGCTCAGTAAGCTTTGACATGATTCTGTATTACTAGCTGCATACACAGTGAATGACAAACTTGAGGCTTCCCATCTGTTGGTTAGGTGTCTCATCACACAGCAGAAGCAAAAGAATGTTAAATCACTTCCGCTTTCAACATGAAACTTTTCATCACTTTCACACCTGCAAATCATGTAGTGTTTCAGTTTTTTCGTCTAACCCCTGTAGATCTGCAAGTGTAGCAGGACTATAAATATTTTGCAGTTAAAACGGTTCAAATATATGTGTTTCTAGTGTGTATTTAACTGCTTTCCTGGAGTTAAAGTGGAAGTAAACCTATTAATTTAATGGTTTAATAAAAACAGTTAAAGGATAAGTTCGCCTTTTGCTAAAAAATAATCAATGCACATTTTTTTACAAGTAAAGAAATGTGCATATATTATTTTTGTTGCAGGAGCATGTAAACCATTGCACCAGTGATCAGTAGATCACTGATGTCATGCAGGTCTCCTGCAGACCTGTCAGTATATATGCTTGCTTGTACGGGATGCAGGGGCCGGTCTAGTCATACCATTTTACACCCTGAATATGGGTTTAACATGTTATGAAATGTGAACTTATCTTTTAAAATTCCAGGAATGCTGTCACATTTTGTTTTTGCTCTCAACCAAACTGGCTGGTCTCGTAACTGATCACGTGAAGTATCATGGCAGTTGCAGATCAAACAGAGGCTATGGCAGCTCTTTGGCTGAAAAGGATAGGAGGGTTTAGTTCTGCTTTAAATGCTTTAGCGCCGCCCCATAGCAGAAATACTGCTACAGGGTGGCAGCTGTGTGCCAAATCACGTGTATATATACGTAATTTTGCATTTCCTTGTAGGTGGCGCACGTGAGCTCTACCCATGCTGCCATTCGCAGCCGCCGCTGTCAGTCACCTAGTCCCGGCTGGTGATTACTTGCTGACGCCCAGTGATTGTCGAGCATCTCCAACGGGGGGAGAACTGTTGGCAAACAAAACAGTTCTCTCCCCTGTCAGCTCCTGCACATTGCTTTGCATGGCTGTGCATAACAGAGCCATACAAAGCAGTGTGCTTACAGTGAAGCACAAACACAGCACACTTAATAAAACAGCACACAGTTAACCCTTTGATCACCCTACATGTTAACCCCTTCTGGCCAGTGCCATGGTAGTGTTTTTTATAACAGTGGCGCTAGTGTTTTTATAAGTTTTAAGAGTGCAGCTTATCACTGTATTTAGTGTTTTTTATAAGCACTTATCACTGGGGTCATGGGGATGTCAGTGATACCAAGTGAGTTCTCCCCAGTGTCAGAATGTCCGCCGCAGTCTTACTATAAGTCGATGATGATCACCAACAATACTAGTAAAAATAAAAATCCCAGTATATATACCGCCATTTGTAAAAGCTATAACTTTCACGTAAACTAATTAATTTACACATATTGGGATTTTTTTTTAGCAAAAACATGGAGCAGAATACATTTTAGCCTAAAATTATGACTACATTTAATTTTTTAAACATTTTTACTGGACATGTTTAATATTGTTTTTTTTTTTCTCAAAATTGTCAGTCTTTTTTTTTTTTTCTTTTGTATAACACAAAACATAAAAAAACACACAGGTGATCAAATGCTACCGAAAGAAAGCTCTATTTGTGGGAAAAAAGGACGTCAATTTATTTTGGGTGCAGCATTGCATGACTGTGCAATTCTCAGTTAAAGTAACGCAGCGCCGTAATGCAAAAAATGGTCTGGTCAGAAAGGGAGGTAAATCCTCTGGAGGGCAATTGGTTAACATGTAACAGACCTAATATTTGAGCAAACAACCATTTTTGTAACTTAGCAGATTGTATGCTTCCATGTGTTAAGTGATTAATATAATTCTTTTTTTTTTTTAAGATCTGAAAGCTTTCGAGAGAAGACTTACGGAATATGTTTCATGTTTACAACCAGCGACTGGACGCTGGAGAAGTAGGCTGCTTTATTTTCTGTCTTTGGAAATATTTTAAAAACTGCCCCTGTAGTGGTTAAAACACACGTTAAAATCTGCATTTTATGCTAGAAATTAAACACCCCAAACAATTCTACAGTGGGGCAAAAAAGTATTAAGTCAGCCACCAATTGTGCAAGTTCTCCCACTTAAGATGAGAGAGGCCTGTAATTGGCATCATAGGTAGACCTCAACTATGAGAGACAAAATGAGAAAAAAAATCTAGACAATCACATTGGCTGATTTGGAAAGAATTTATTTGCAAATTATGGTGGAAAAAAGGTAATTGGTCACCTACAAACAAGCAAGCTTTCTGGCTCTCACAGACCTGTACCTTCTTCTTTAAGAGGCTCCTCTGCCCTGCACTCATTACCTGTATCAATGGCACTTGTTTGAACTTGTTATCAGTATAAAAGACACCTGTCCACAACCTCAAACAGTCACACTCCAAACTCCACTATGGTGAAGATCAAAGAGCTGTCGAAGGACACCAGAAACCAGAAACAAATTGTAGACCTGCACCAGGCTGGGAAGACTCAATCTGCAATAGGCAAGCAGCTTGGTGTGAACAAATCAACTGTGGGAGCATTAATTAGAAAATGGAAGACATAAAAGACCACTGATAATCTCCCTCAATCTGGAGCTCCACGCAAGATCTCACCCAGTGGGGTCAAAATGATCACAAGAACGGTGAGCAAAAATCCCAGGACCACACAGGGGGACCTAGTGAATGACCTGCAGAGAGCTGGAACCAACGTAACAAAGGCTACCATCAGTAACACGCTACGCCGCCAGGGACTCAGATCCTGCAGTGCCAGATGTGTCCCCCTGCTTAAGCCAATACATGTCCGGGCCCGTCTGAAGTTTGCTAGAGAGCATTTGGATGATCTAGAAGAGGATTGGGAGAATGTCATATGGTCAGATGAAACCAAAATAGAACTGTTTGGTAGAAACACAACTCGTCGTGTTTGGAGGAGAGAGAATGCTGAGTTACATCCAAAGAACACCATACCTACTGTAAAGCATGGGGGTGGCAACATCATGCTTTGGGGCTGTTTCTCCGCAAAGGGACCAGGATGACTGATCCATCTACAGGACAGAATGAATGGGGCCATGTATCGTGAGATTTTGAGTGCAAACCTCCTTCCATCAGCAAGGGCATTGAAGATGAAACGTGGCTGGGTCTTCCAACATGACAATGATCCCAAACATACCACCGGGCAACGAAGGAGTGGCTTCGTAAGAAGCATTTCAAGGTCCTGGAGTGGTCTAGCCAGTCTCCAGATCTCAACCCCATAGAAAACCTTTGGAGGGAGTTGAAAGTCCGTGTTGCCCAGAGACAGCCCCAAAACATCACTGCTCTAGAGTAGATCTGCATGGAGGAATGGGCCAACATACAAGCAACAGTGTGTGCCAACCTTGTGAAGACTTACAGGAAACGTTTGACCTCTGTCATTGCCAACAAAGGATATATAACAGTATTGAGATGAACGTTTGATATTGACCAAATACTTATTTTCCACCATAATTTGCAAATAAATTATTTCCAAATCAGCCAATGTGCTTGTCTGTCTGGATTTTTTTCTCATTTTGTCTCTCATAGTTGAGGTCTACCTATGATGCCAATTACAGGCCTCTCTCATCTTTTTAAGTGGGAGAACTTGCACAATTGGTGGCTGACTAAATACTTTTTTGCCCCACTGTATATTTTCTGAAAGCAGAGACCTTAGAAAAAAGAAATGGTGGTAGTTGCAAATTTAATATCGCACAATGTTTGCACAACTATTTATCAAATACATATTTTCAGGGAAAAATAAACAAATTAATTTTAGTGCAAACAATAATATACCCAATTGCTTGGTTCAATACAAAAGCTGGAATTGCCTTGACTATACAGTATACAGTGGATATAAAAAGTCTACACGACCCTTTTAAAATGTCAGGTTTTGTGATGTAAAAAAAGAGACAAAGATAAATCACTTCAGAACTTTTTCCTCCTTTTAAATGTGACCTATAAACTGTACAACTCAATTGAAATACAAATTGAAATCTTTTAGGGGGGGGAAGTAAACATAAAAAACTAAAATAATGTGGTTGCATAAGTGTGCACACCCTCTTTATAACTGGGGATGCATCTCTGTTCAGAATTAAGCAATCACATTCAAAATCATGTAAAATAGGAGTCAGTACACACCTGCCATCATATAAAGTGCCTCTGATTAGCCCCAAATTTCAGCTTTTATAGTGGGTCTTTCCTTACGTTTTCCTAGTTGCATCCTACAGCAAAATCCATGGTCCGCAGAGAGCTTCCATAGTATCAGAGGGATCTCATTGTTACAAGGTATCAGTTAGGAGAAGGGTACAAAAGAATTTCCAAGGCATTAGATATACCATGGAACACAGTGAAGACAGTCATTTACGAAGAAAAACATCCAATCCCGGCTAAATTTTGCAAAAACGCATCTGACGTCTCCCAAAAGCATGTGGGAAAATGTGTTCTGGGGGCTGTCAGGCTCCGCCCAACGGGATCTCTAGTGGTCCACGGCACGGGGTTTCCCAGGACGCGGAGTCTAAGTCCCAGTCTGCCTTTTCACCAGGGCCCCTGATGGTGGGGATGGACTTGGTGCAAGACTGAAACCAGGTCGCGTCCCTGGGCACCCCCGGCGGCGGCAGAGGGGTCCCGCTGAGGGTATGTGCCCGGGTTGAGCCTGCTGTGAAGGGGACAACAGATCCCGATCCGAGCGGGATGGATGGGATGACAGATCCCGATCCGAGCGGGATGGATGGGATGACAGATCCCGATCCGAGCGGGATGGATGGGCAACTATCAGGAGAGGTCAGACTAGCCGGGTCGGTATTGTGCGGGCAGCGTGGTACAGGGGGAGTAAGCGGAGAATGGTCGGGGTCACAAGCCAGGTTCAGCAGGTAGCGGGCAGCGCGGTACAGAGGGTCAGGCAGAAGGATGGTCAGGGACGAGCCGGGGTCAGAGCAGGAGAAGGTCAGCATAAACAGAACAGGCAGAGTTTGGCAACAAGGAAGCGTACTTACAGGACAGGAACAAGACCTTGCGGCAACTTGGAGATGCACAGGGCAAGCTTTAAATAGAGCGCCCTGCTCTCCCATTGGTGCGGCCGCGATTGCTACTGCGCATGCGCGGCCGCCCGCGATCGCCGAGGACTCTGCGCTCGCCGGCTGGGACGGATCGGCGGTCTGCGCATGCGCGCGCGCCGCCGAGGACCCGGGATCCCTGACATTGCCCCCCCCCCCCCCTACGGGCAACCTCCGGATGCCCAACCGACCCCTACTCAACGGCCGGTTCCGAAAAAAATTCCCCGCACAAGCCTTGGGGCGTGCGCACATTTTGGGCCGGCTCCCATGAATTTTCCTCCGCTCCATATCCTTTCCATTTAACCAGAAACTGAGTTTGGCCTCCCCTCCTCCTGCAATCTAAGATAGCTTCAACTTCAAATTCCTCCTCCCCATCCACGTCTACTGCCTCCGGTGGCTTAGACCTTCGATCCGGGAAGGGGTCTGGAGTTGCTGGTTTCAACAGGGACACATGGAAGACCGGATGAACCTTCATAGATTCGGGCAGTGCCAGCTCGTATGCCACCTCGTTGATCTTACGTTTGACCCGGAAAGGCCCCAAGAACTTGGGAGCCAATTTCTTCGAAGGGCAGGACATTTTTAAATTTGCGGTGGACAACCAAACCTGGTCCTCTGGCCGCAAACTCAATTCCCCTCTTCTTTTCCTATCAAACGCCCTCTTATTGTCATCCTGGGCCTTTGCCATTGCTTCCTGCAATACCTTGCTATTGGTTGACAGAAAGGTCAACATATCCTGCGTGGCTGGGGACTGCGACCTCCGGGATTAGATCTGGCAGGAATACAGGGTGGAACCCATAGTTTGCGAAAAACGGGGACTGTCTAGTAGCAGAGTGACTTGCATTATTATATGCGAATTCCGCAAGCGGCAGGAGAGTAACCCAGTCATTTTGGAGGAAGGTGGTATAGCACCTGAGGTACTGCTCTAGGGTCTGGTTTGTACGCTCCGTCTGGCCATTGGTCTGTGGGTGATAAGCTGAAGAGAACGATAACTTAATTCCCAGGGTTTCACATAGAGCTTTCCAGAACCTGGACGTAAACTGAACCCCTCTGTCAGATACAATGTCCCTGGGAATTCCGTGGAGTCTTACCACTTCCTTAATAAACACACGTGCTGTCTCAAGGGCCGTAGGTGTGTCCTTTAGAGGTACAAAATGGGCCATCTTGGACAGGCGGTCTACAATCACGAAGATTGCTGTGTGGTCCTGAGAGGGTGGAAGTTCCACGATAAAGTCAATGGAAATCATGGTCCATGGCCTGTCGGGTATGGGTAATGGGCGCAAGAGACCCCAAGCTTTATTCCTAGTGGGTTTGTTTCTCTGACAAACGGGACAGGTCCTTATGTAGGTTTCGCACTCCCTGGCCATATTAGGCCACCAGAAAGTACGCTGCAGCAGCTCCAAGGTCTTACGTACCCCAAAGTGCCCAGCCAGTGGGTGATCGTGGCAGTATCCTAAAACTAATGTACGGGCCTCCTCAGGGACCACAATCTGATCCTCCTTCCAAAAAAGTCCTTCCCTATTTAGTAAGGGGACACCAGGTGGACCTTGCATTCCTACGGACGCGGTCTGCAGTTGAGAATGGAGCTCCGATTGGAGAACTAAGAAATTTCCTGGGGACAGGATAGTGTCTGGCTTGGGATTCTCTTCGGGATCCCCAAACATGCGGGAGAGCGCATCTGGTTTTGTGTTCTTAGACCCTGGCCTATAGGTTATATGGAAAAAGAACCGTGAAAAGAACAGCGCCCCCACCTGGCTTGACGTGGCCTCAGACGTTTAGCTGTCCTCAGATATTCTAGGTTCTTATGATCCGTAAAAATCAATATTGGGTGTACCGCCCCCTTCTAACAAGTATCTCCATTCCTCTAGTGCCACCT